TTGAACCTATGGCTAGCCCTCAATTTAGTCAATGGGCCTGGGAGCAGCAGCTTCTACGGTTTATAACTATAACCCGTCTTCCCTTCAACCTGATTGAGCATCCCCAGTTCCATAATCTAATCAGGATGGCTCAATCCGCTCCGTTATGTCCACAAATCCCTACCGGGAAGACTATTCGCCGTCGACTACAAGACTCTGTGCAAGATCAACAGCAGAGCATTCTTCGGACCCTTCCACATGACGCCAAAATATCGATTGCTCTTGATTGCTGGACTTCCCCATTCACGCAGGCATTTCTAGCTGTTACTGGCTATTTTATCGATCAAGATTGGCGGCATCGCGAGGTTTTACTTGGATTTGAGCCTATTCATGGTACACACTCTGGTGCAAACCTAAGTACCATTCTTCTTGATATGCTCCAAAAGCATGAGATCCAGGATCGGGTATACGCAATCACGACTGATAATGCGTCGAATAACAAAACATTGGTTAATACCCTCCAGCAGTTAATGCCTGATGATGTTACTCTTATTCGGGTTCCATGTCTTGCACATGTCATTCAACTAAGTCTGAACGACCTTCTTCGGTATATGAAGGCTATTCCGCATAATGAGACTATGGAGACAACCTGGACAGAGCAGCGATCTCAGACCGCGCGCACTATTGCTAGTAAGCGCGATATTGCGATTACATTGATGAAGGTAGTATTAATATACCTAGCCTAGAATTTATGCTAATAACTAACTATATGCCTAGGTGCGAAATTTTGCAGTTTACGTTAACGCAAGCCCCCAACGACGGGAGATCTTTTACAGTCTACAAACCGAGTCAGGAACAAAGCTTGTGCCAATGCAAGACGTTAAGACACGCTGGAATTCAACATTTCTAATGCTTCGCCGTGCGAAGCGTCTACGGCGTTTCTTTGTACCATTTTGTACTGAGCTTGATCGGCTAGACTTAGCACTAGATGATGAGGAATGGCGCCAGATTGACTATCTCCTTTGGATCACCGAGCCATTCTTTGATTTTACCAACGAGCTTTCAAAGACAAAAGACACAACTACACACTATGTCTTCAAGATCTACAACAAGCTATTTGAGCACCTTGAGAAATCAATTACTCAGCTCGAACGCAAACGGACAATATGGAAGAAACAGATGCTTCAAGCACTTCGTGCTGCTCGACAGAAGCTCGATCAGTATTACGCCGACACTGATAAAATCCGGGGGGACCTCTACGCCGTAAGCACCATGCTCGCGCCATCGAATAAGTTTAAATTCTTTTTGACTTCTGATTGGACTACTTCATGGCGTACGAGATACCGCAAGTCGATAGAACAAATCCTTATTCCATACCAGGAACGAATTACCGAGCAACAGACCTCGCATCACTCTATATCTTCAGCTCGGACAGGATCTCGATTAGATCTTATGTTGAATGGAGACAAAAGTCAATCAACGCCATCTAATAATGAGCTTACTCAATATCTTAATAGCGGTATGTATAAAATATGGTTTATTTTATAATATACTGATAATATATTAGAAACTGTGAATGTCTTACCACTTCCTTTCTGGAAAGACAATCAATATCATTACCCAGCGCTTGCAAAGCTCGCACGAGATGTGCTTTCGATACCTGCAACTGGTGCTGGTTTTGAGCGGCTATTCAACACTGCTCGTGACATTTGCCACTATCGGCGAGGAAGATTATATGCGACAACAATTCAAGAGCTAATGCTGTTCCTTTGTGCTTCTAAATTTGATATTGAAGAAGAACAAGCATCTCTTTTGAAGGAATTTTTCTCGCGTGATGAGATTGAGGCTCAGAAAGAAGAGAATGAAGATCCTGATACTCTAGTTGATCTAGATCCTATTAGTGATACTGATGAGATAGTGGAAAATGGCGAACAAGAAGAGGAGGAGGAGGAGGGTAGTAATGAAGGATCTGAACAAGATGGTATACCAAAAGGCAATACTGAGGTTGAAGGAGAGCAGAACAATGATGATTCGGAATGTGGGCTCCCACTACCTCAGTCTGACACCCAGAGAAGAAAGCGTGTGAGACGGGATGAGGATTATGAATATTATTAGCACAGTATATAGATATATAACAATCAATGATAAATAATCATATTGATTTGACGTTTAACTTTGGCTGGACATAGTATTCAATGTAATATGAGTACAGAAAGATACTGGTTGAAACTACATAACTTATGCAGTGCCGGACCAAGCTAATCTTTGCACTGTTTGCGACCCAATTGGGGCCCCAATGGGTTCTGTGGGTTACCCATAGAAACCCATGACCCATCGTGGGTTATAGAACTGGACCCAAAACCCAACCCATTTGTGGGTTGGGTTGGGTTGGGTCTTGGGTTTTGTGGGTTATGTCAAAGCCTAGTTACCACAACGGTAATAGTGTTGAGAATTTAATTGATTCTATTTTTCGGCACACTTGAAGAAGTTTGATGTTACTTAACTATTTACAAAAAAACAGATGAGTAAGAAATAGATACATCGAAAGGAATCTATCTGATGATTCTGTAATTTCTTTTTAAAATAGCTACTATAGATTGCGACGACCACTAAGGCCCGCATTTTTTAGGGGTCCCATAACTCTAGTACTCCTATATGGCATCACGACAGGTGTAGATGTCGCAAACTGTACGGACCACCGAAATTCATCCTCGGCGTAAATAGTTTTCTTTCCTAGCGTTAGAAGCAGCGGTTCGTTTCGGTTAATCGCCTTACCTCTGGTTCGCGGTCACTTGACCTCATTAGTCATCGAGCGATTTCATTTCTCAAATCGCTGCCCGTCACAACTATTTTCTTCCCAGCTTGACTGTCACTCTCCTCAATATCCCATCTCGACCACTGACACTTCGAAATCAAGCACTGGGTTATAACTCCATTCAGCCATCTTAACATGAATGTATTCCCCGAGTCTAGCTTTTTCAGAGAGAGACGAGCCTCTGCACTCCCTACGCCAGTTGAAATAAGAGCTTTCAACAAAAATTCTGGCAATCTTTACGCCACAAATTTCAACCGCCCCCCTCCTGTCAAAATACCGTCTTTTAGACTGATGGTTAAGTACGGAGCTGACGTGACCGTGACCGAGGCTCAAACTCAAATGAGAATACGCGAGCAACTACAAGGACAGGTGCCTACTCCTGAGATTTTTGGCTGGACCGAGGATGGAGGACAGTTTTTTATCTACATGTCCTTAATTGAGGGCGAGACTCTACAAAAGAGATAGAGTGGCATGGATGAAGCTGAGAGACAGGCCGTCTACGAACAACTTCAATATATTGTAGGAAGATAGAGGGCCTTGACGCAGGACAAGCAAGACTGTTATATCGCTACGTGCATTCCCTCAGATATAATTCATAAGCAACCCTTATCTGAAATAAACTCCACAAGCAGTTTCAGTAAACAACCACTGAGTAAGGCATTCCTCAATTCCCACCCTGAACTCGCAGGCCCATTTCAAGGTATGAACGCCATCCAACTATTTCAAGATGCTTGCGGAATTGAGATCAACAGCGAAGTGCCTGTAGTTTTCACTCATAGCGATTTTGCCCCACCCAACATCCTTCTATCCCCTGGGTCCAATCCACAAGTAGCAGCGATCATTGCCTGGGGTCAGACTGGGTGGTATCCAGCGTACTGGGAATATTGTGAAGCACGACGAGTGAGAGTGGATCCAGAGTACTTTGATGATGCTCTTCAAGAAAAATGGCACATGAAATATCTGCCAATGGTCCTAGATCCTATGGATGATGATAAATACTACCACCCCTGGCTTTGGTTTGTGTTATCCAAGGGCGTCTAAATAGAAGTGGGCTTTGTGAGCCAAAGCGACCGTAATTGTTGCTCTTAGATCATGTGCGTCAAGCATTTTCAATGGGTTCTCAGGTCATGGTGTATCTTGTATCTGCTTCCTGTTGCGAAGGGGAGGGCTGCAATGGTCAGCATAAACCTATAAAGCCGAATTATTTCACTTATCAATGGGATATGGTCAGAACTTTGTTGTAATGTGTCCTTGTCGCTAAGGATTGGCAACTCGCTGGGCTGCTGATTTCCTTCATTCTCATGGCCTGTCGAGCTGTTTGGGAGTTCGTTTTTGTCCATAGGAAAAATGCAAGATCTAGGCAGTACCGTTTCCATCTGGCCTCTGTGTCTATTTGGACTATCAACACGCATATGGCTGTGGACTGGGTTTTACAATCATCACCACGGTCAATTAGGGCAGTCAAATTCTAATTAGAGTTGGTTCACTTTTCAGTGGGCATTCAACAGCAACTTTATCAAAGGATTATGATCAACAAGTCGGTCAGGTAGACTGTTCAAGTCACATAGCGTTGAGGGCCAGATGTGAATGCTCATGGGAATATAAATTTCAACCGGACACCACATCACCTTTCGTTGAAAGCCTCAGAAATTCGAATAATGGAAAATTGTAGAACTTTCAGTGAAACGAAAAAAAAAAAGGATGAGCAGAAGCATTTCTAGGATGACTTGCACGTTGTCGTCCTGGTTTTGCGTCAGCCACAGTCGGGGAATTTTCACCCTGGGATAGTCGTTCAGAACTGCAAAGCCCAGAAAACCTTTCAGCTCCGCCATATTAAGACTAGGCATGAACATGGGAATGATAACGCTCATTATTGAAACCGGCCTTTCAAGGACAAGGTTTTGCATGTGATATCATGATAGTATTTGAAAGTAGATAGGTCAAATGGAAGCCTCACAATACGCTAGTATAATACTTTTGATATTTTCTCGATAAGTGGTCCTGCAGAATCAACTGCTTATTGAAGGGAAGCAGCGAGGATATCTGAAATTCAACACCATTGAAGTGATTGGGCTTGGAACATCATGATAGAAATGATACTGTTGAGTTGATAAACAGCAATCTCAAGCACTTGCGGTATAATTGAAAGGGATAGAAGCCAGGGAATCTTTCATCACAATGAAATCAACAAATAATGCCGCCAATACTACAAACTTCCCTCCTCGAAATTCCTAATGGATTTCTCATATTTTCCCGCCTCAATTTTCTCCAAATGAGGCACAGGGTTTCTCGGCAACTGGAGACTGCTACCTTCGCTAAGTTCCTGACCAAGCTCTGCTGCCGGTCGGGTGTCAATAGCTGTATATTCACTAAACATGGGGTCTTGCTGTTGAGTTCCGGATTGGTTTTTCGGCCCAGGAGATTGGCGGTCGGCTTGGGGTGCGGACATGATTTACCGTTATCTGGCGATATTCTGAATTTCAGTCAGCGGTGGTTTGATGATTGGATCAAAATGTGCTCCACTGTATACTGACCACGATTGAAGATGATGCTGATGGGACTAAGAAGTAGACTTTGTTCTTTGTCCTGGTCTGTCTCTCTTCTTATAGGGGCTAAAAAGGCCTAAAAACTTAGCTTAAGGTTGCTTCAAGCACATGACCTACTATTTCATGTTTTTACCATATCGAAAATCATTAGCAGGAAACAGCGTGTTCACGGAATGACGTAATGCTATTCATGATGCCAGTGGCGATAAAATCTGACCAATTAGATGCCCAGGCCCTCTTATCTCAAGTTGTCTACATGTCTCGGCAATACATACTGTAACCCCAACGCCCTTAGTTGACAGTATGCAAGATCGATAAGGCGATACAAAGTTAAATTGGCTCAGTAACAATTTCTATCGTTTACAGGATTCAGACGTGTTGAAAGTTGCAACGTTGCCCAGGCTTCCGCAATCAGTTGAAGAGACAACTTATATTCTCTTTCCGAACGAGGACATCGCGGGATGGAATGCACCAACGCTCTTTTTATCATTTGAGGCACTACAACAAACGCCCGTCAAACGGCTGCCATCAACATCCACACCCCACCTACTTGCTATGAAAAATAGTTTTGGGAAACATCGGTCACTGTGTCTAACAATGATTTTAAGTAACTCAAAGATAAAGGGTTCGAACAAGCTTAGTATTGGGAGGCTGCGCGGAATAGAAGTACGCCACGAAGAACGAAATGCTGTCCAAGGCGGAATGGGTGTAAATCACTGCTCGACCGGAGTGGGGAAGGAGGTGAGTAATTGAAATGAATCATTGCTGTCTACCTTATTGATTATTAGAATACATGGTGAAGGTCGTGTTGTCACTAGTACAAAACCAAAGGATGGTGGGGATGGCTGCCATTGAAACACGGTTGGAAACACACTACTCTACTGTGGAAATAGATTCAGTCCAGTGTTAGGCTGTGGTACATCTGTTACCCAAATGCTTGATCAATTTTGTTGTACAGCAAAGAGTTTTTATCTGATTTTGACGGACAAAAGCAACCAAAGAAATAAGTACAAGAATCAGTCAATTCGCGGCCCATTGAACACCCATTCTAAGCCTGAAGTTTCAGCTTCAGCAATTCCTTCAAAGCGTCGGCATCAGCCGCAAACTTGGAAATACTCTCGCGCAGCTTTTCGACAGCCATCGCCTCCTCATTGAAATCAAAACGGAAGAGGGCCTCGTCATTGATATAGCTGCGCTTTGGAATATCGAGGTCGGTCGCAGCAGTGTGGTCTAGCTTTTTCGGTACGGGGTCCATGGAGTTATATAGATCCTCTAAGAGGCCAGGCGAAATAGTTAAGTAGTCGCAGCCGGCGAGCTCGACAATTTCGCCGGTGTTTCGGAAGGAGGCTCCCATGACAATTGTTTTGTATCCGTGTTTTTTGTAATAATTGTAGATGCTCTGCACAGACCTTACACCGGGGTCGTCTTCCGCAGTGAAGTCGCGCTTGTGGGCGGCTTTGTACCAGTCGAGGATGCGACCGACAAAAGGGGATACCAAAAAGGCTCCTGCCTCAGCAGCAGCAATAGCCTGCACAAGCGAAAACATGAGAGTCAGGTTGCAATTGACGCCATGTTGGGACTGAAGAATGCGAACGGCCTGGATGCCTTCCCATGTAGAGGCGACCTTAACCAGGACACGTTCTTTGGGGATACCGATCTCCTGATAAAGCTGTGGCAGATAGTGTTAGCTAATGCCAATTGCCCATCGTGGGCAAACTAGACTAGATACCTTGATGATATGGAGAGCCTTGTTGACGGAGGCCTCAGTGTCAAAGGAGAAGCGTGCGTCGACCTCCGTGGAAACCTTACCAGGTATGATCTTGAGGATCTCCTTGCCAAATTCAACAAGCAGCTGATCCAGAGTTGAATCAACTTGTACGTCGATGGAACCTTTCTGCTTCTTACCATACTCGACGGCACGGTGGATAAGACTCGCGTACTCGGCCTTCTTGGACGCAGCAAGGATCAGAGATGGGTTGGTAGTGGCATCCTGCGGTTTGTATTTGTCGATAGCTATTACAAGAGGATGGGTTAACATTGAAAGGATGACCCATGGCAATAGCTAGGGGTGAAAGACGGGATAAGTGGCAAAGGGCGCATACTAGCAAAGTCACCTGATATCCTTTGTTAATGAACTGTCTTCTAAAGTATCTATACTGAAATCATTCACTCACCAGAGTCACAGACTACAACAGAGCCAGTGGCCTTGAGCTGCTCAAGGGAGGAGGTCATTGTTGCGAAATGAGTTTTTGGCGTGATAATGGATGAGCTGTTTTTGATGTAACTTCACAAGGTCAATCAGTACAAGAAAAGTACAGGAAGAGATTAGTAGGATAAGTGGCGACGGAACTGATCACTTATACTTTCTGTTGGGGGGAATGGAGGACAGGAAACAATTTTAACCGGATAATGGGGAGTAGAGTTGATTATTATGTATTGCGAGGGAATCCTGTATCATACCTGCACTGAAATGGGCGAATGACGTCAGCGCCACCGATGCGCCAGCATCGCCAGACTCTCACTACCAGGAAAACTCCAATGTCACCTCCCCGTTATCGGACCCGTCAAATACACTTCGGGAAGCTGGAGCGCCACTTTGACAGCACATTTGAAGTATTTGAGTAGTGTGCCTCTCCTCAATCCATGGCCGGTGCCAGATTTTAGATTTTGAACCATCTATGCGCCTCAAACCCAAATCGACCAAAAACGAACCATGACACAGCTGATGATAAAAGCTCTTTAATCAAGTCTCTGCGCTCTCTGCGCGGCTGATGCCAAGATCTGCAGCTCGCGCTGAAAACCAGCCCTTGTTGTGCAACAGCACCCAATTTGGGTCTAGCCAATGTAGCAACCCCAAGAGGCTATCACTGTTACCACGTCAATCAGATATCAAGCAAGCTCTCCCCCATTTATATCCCTATTTTCCGTCTTCCACTGTTCGCTCTTCCGAGGCTCTAGCTTCAAACCCCATCAACACAATCTCCATCGAACATTATACAATGGTCCATTTCTCCACTTGGCACCAGCTTCTATTTTGATTCTATAGGCTTATAGACCTCTCAGAGCCATATTTCCGATGCTGGATCCTGCCACATCCATAACAGAATGCGATTGAGGAAGACTCACCTTCAAGACACCCTCCCAACCCAGCTATGTCTTCTATGTGATCGGCCCTTCTGCGTCGACCACAAAGGAAAGGAGGATGGCGTCTGAGATCAATCATGAAACCCACTACCTTAGCCACCCGGCGGCGCAGGAGTACTTGTATCGGACGTATGAAGACTGGAAGAAAGATCATGAGCAGGTGATGATTAATGAGATGTCGGGGAATGAGGGGGACGTGGTGGTGGGTAGAAACGAAAGCGATACACTGGGCAGACACCCAACATGTAGGTCTTCCAAAAGGACATGAATTTAGCAACATCCCAGGTCCTCCTGCTTTTCTGCAGGCATCAGAAAGCATTTGAAGTACAATCAAATGCAACCACGAGACATAGCCACGTATTGTAATTTAACGAACACACTGTATCGATACTGATCTTGGAAATTGGTATCCCGGAGCTGTCCATAATAAAGACTAGTGTGACTTATCATTCGGGTTTGGGAAACAATCCGAGAGGGAAGGTGGGCGGACATATCTCTCTTTTGGTATACCCGCAAGACCGGCGAATGCCAAGCCTTGGCTATTTATCCTTAGTGCACCTGTTCAAAGCCAAGGAGTCAGGTAAATTGTCTGCGACTAGCGGACATCCGGATCATCGAAAATCGAAAATGAGGATGGAAAAAAGTGTGGGCTTCAGAAAAGTAGGCAGATGAGCGGCCCCTATGAATCATCTAACTGAGGGTTCGCAGAACAGTGAGAGATCTCAGCCAGATGATCCCGGAGAAGTCAACTTGCTAGGGGAAAGCTGCGATTGCCAACTCATTTTTTCACCGCACCCACGAATAATTTGGTTTGTGAAGCCCATTCTCTCCGTGTCGTCCGGAGTGTCCTACGTTGAACGTACCATGCAGCAAGGGGTCACGCATTTTATAGAAAGTCATGAAAATAGCTGGCTGAAAGCTCTCTATCATTTTAGCATTGTTGTCAAATACCATTTAGTTCCTCTATGGAGTAAGCAAAGCCTTCTAAACTATGACTGGCGAGCGAAGACGAGGATTGCGCTGCATGTGGGAAGAATGAAGGGAGAAAGAGGCAAAACGTGGCTGACGGGAACGAAGCCAACTATCTGGTGATATTGCCAGATCGTCAGATCTACAAAACAATTATAGATGGTTACATGTGATATTACAGCATCATGACGATGACTCATTAATAGCAATACAAGTATCACGATAACTGTTCTGCCAGATTTATGAGGCTGTGAGCAAACCCGGCTTAGCGTCTCCTGGAGTTGACTTTTCCGAATCAACAAGTTAAGAGTCTGGAGGTATAGCTGATATCGAAAACTACTGTACCTACCTAAAAATACTCTCACCTTTCCTGCTAAGAGGACTCTACGAAGCTTTTGGGCTATGGTAACACTGCTTCAAGCCTGTTCATAAGAAAAGGCTATCGTAAGATACGTGATTCCGATGTCATTATCCATTTTAAGTTTACTTTTACATCTTAGATACCTGCTCATTTAGGGTTAAAAAAGGTTTGCGTAATCCAATTTGTATAAATCGCCAGCAAAATTCCGAGGCTGCTATCCACGGTCTCCAATCTCACAAGCAAGTGAAACGCGATGAAGAAGCGAGCAAGCTTGTCCGTGCCTATTTTTAGGAAGCAAAGGGATTCTTTCCGGTTAAAAGCTGAAATAAAAAGTGGCTTGCGGTGCGTAGCCCCAAAATTCTGATTCGGTAGATTCTTATATTTCATCAGTCTAGCGGTCTATCACCGATTAGATAGTTTGCAAGGTGAGGGTTCGCGCCAAGGCATGCAGTTTGACGAACGCGGCGCGAAGCTACTTGTGATGATAGAATGATGTTGGAGCACCTGAATTGTCCTGCGCCTCATATATCAGTTTGGCCGTGTCTGTGACACGGGACGCCCCAATTTTTGCCTAACAAGTAACGAGCAAATTAGGTTGCTCTTCATGTCTCGGCCCTGCCCCAGACCTTGTCGCATGGATAATTGTAGATTCATCAGTTCTTGATTTGATTCAAGTCGAAGCTTTCATTTTTCTTTTTTTTGGGGGGGTTAAAGAGCTATAAAAAACTTTTCATCAATACCAATATTACTGAACAGCCTATGCACTCTGAACAGTGCACATGCAATCAAAAGAGCGTAGCGTTAAAATAACACGAACATAGGATTTAATTGAATATAGTCACTGAGTTTAATTGCAGTAAATGTTTCTTGCATCACACGACGCGGCGTACAAAGATTTCGGTGCCAGCATAGGCGAAAAAGACACACCAGGCCAGTGAATCCTAGAATTTCGTCAAAAATGGAGCCGAATGTTAGTGGCAGCAAAAACTATTTTTCAAACCAATAAGCCTCATTCTGTTACTCTTCTTCTCTGTCCATTGATCGGGAAATTCTCTGTTATGAAGATGGTCTCACTTCCAATCATTTTGCCGTGCATTTTTTTAGGGTAGAGCTTTATGAACTAGTGTCCCTGGTCGGTAGCTGAGAGGCGCATTTAGAATGAAAATCGATATCCAAAGCTTATGAAAGAATAGATATTTGTATTGAATGCAAATTGACTGCGGACGAGTGGTGGGGATGATGGGACTGTTTCTCTGAACCTTGTGCTGCTAGACGTTATGTCTCCAAGTCATACCTCACTCTGATAACCATCATTTAAAGCGAGATAATTTGGACGGTGCGACGGGTCTCCATCGCCGTTTGCAAGATAAAGGGCAAATGGCGAGACGTAAAAGAAGGTAAAAGGGAACCCCTCAACAATGCGCTATAACTAGTCAAACCTTTGTTCTCATATCACGCAAAAAGATCCAACCACGTATTGATCATAATAAGGTCATTATACTGCAATCTTTTTTGCATTTCACACGACGAATTGCGAACAAGGAAGAATGATATGCATACTTTCAATTTGCGAATAAAATTTGCATTTCTTGTTCGCGGTGTTCCAAATTGCGAATACGAATATCGAATATTACTGACTCTGGCGATCATATTCAAAAAAGCCCAACTATCTATAACTTATTGATAGAATGCAACCAAGTAGGATTGCGTTGCAATTTAAGTGAGACTTGCTAACCCAGTGAGTGATGCACCAGTTGGTAGGTTACATGTTCTCCCATCTCTGATTACCGGTCGCGACCAAGCGATTGAACAACTCATCTCGCTCCGGTATTACTGTCAATCTCCAAATTCTTTCTTCCTTATCCCCAATCTCTAAGCTTGCTAGCAACTTCTGGTCCGACGGAAACGCAGCCACTGCCTCAATTGCCGTGTTTACAAAGGCTGTTGCTCTCTTCACTCGCTTCATATCACTCACGGCAATTTCAAACACTGGGTCCAGCTTTCTAAAGCTCATCAACCTTGGGTCATCGCGCGTGAATGACAGGCTTGGTCTAGAAGACTCTGTAATGACTGCCCAGCCATATTTCCCCTCAAATCGACATTGGTATACGTGGTTTTTGTCTTAGGCAAAACGCTCAAGTGACCCTTCGCCTTCTGCGAACCAGTTGCAACCCAGACGTGATCAATGGCCAGCTTCGGCTCGACGACAGATTTGGCATTGCCTTTGAAGAAGCGGACAATCTTGGAAAGATGGTTGTGATTTGGCTTCTCTTCATCGTCGTCGCCGTGGGCTTTCTCAACGATTGAAGGCATGGTCGCATCAAGAACATCGGAACTGGTGGTACCGAGAGGTATATTCTCAGCTTCAATGGGATTTTGATGATCCGGGTCATTGGGGTTGGAGGTAGTTACAGGAGGAAGAGGCGTTTTGTGTGCTTCGCCGATACGAAGAGTTATTGCGATCTGGGAGGTTGTAGGGACGCCGCGAAGAAAATTGCTACTTGTAGTCAGCATTGGAGCGAACAAGAACTTGGAAGACTGACTTTTTCGGTTGTGCAAGCTCCTCGTACTTGGGCACGTTTCCTTTGAGCCAAGCTATCGTAGGTGTTAGCATTGGATCGCCGAAAACGACGAATCCAACGAGACAATAAATCCCTTTGTATACCATGTAATAGCTGACGAAAAGAGGTAGGAGGAATAAAGGGGCAAGGACAGCCACTATTCTGATTCGGTATCTTTCCTTCCAGTGGATCTCCATGTCCATCCTGTTGTTGGAAATGTGCATACCGACAGCTCTCTGAATGTTGTGTCGGACGTTTTCGACAAGGTTGGCTGCTTCCTCTTCGATAGCTTCATGTGGCTGCTTCTCCGGGGCACCAGTGAGTGTATCATTGGTACCTAGCAGACCTACTTGGGGCTTCTGAATCCCGCCTGTCCTGATATTTACTAGAGCACGCGGTGCTGATGGAAACAATATGGTGCGAACTGGGACCGAAGATACCACCATTATCAATATTCCAAGAACAAGCGGCATCAATCGATCAAATCGCCATGCAGCGAAGTATGCCTTGATATTCCGAATCAGTACACATTTTGTTTCGAAACTTTAATCCAGGAGTGGACTTGTGGCCAACGTACCGCACAGAATATTGATGTACGACAAGTCTCATTCCAGGAACGAAGTCGTGAAACTTGTTTTCCAAGGCTCGCGATGCCAAGAACCACAGTCAAAAATCTCGTTGTAGGTGACGAGCCACTTTGTCCCCGGCGTGATCTTGAGAACATGCATCATTGAGGTCGAGACCACTTGCAGTTTCAATAGGCACCGCTTTAACATCGAAGACATCCCGATCAGTCGAAATTAGTCCTATGAATATATGGTCGGGACCAAGAAAGCCCCACCTTGTTGAAGCGTCGGATGAATGCAAAAAGCTCTCCGTTCGTGTAACCACCAATCAAAGGATCGGGTATCTCTAATTTAACTTTATGCCAACCAATGTCTCTCGCCAATTCGGAATAGTCGCCACTAGGATACTTTTTCTGGATAGCACCTCGGACTTCCGGTACCTCGTGTGCTAGTTCATGGCTGTCCGCATTGGGATCATTCTTCATAGTCTCTACTGGGACTTCAATCAGTGCATAAGCCTGATGGTGCAAGGTAGCCACCATAGTGGAGGTATTGTTGTCATCAAATTGGATGCCGGGCAGTGTCTTTGGGTAATCAAGGTTCCGGTGAACTTGTGAAGTGATCAGGTCATTAGAGGCGCCAACCAAGCCATGGGCTGTATGTTTTAAATTAGCCAGCATAGTCGGACAAGTATTGGTATGATCATCAACGCATGGTAAGTCTCAATATGGTCCCGCATTTTATCAGCCTGGGACGCTGGTTGGCCACTAAAGCCGCCAACAAGCGCACACGTTTTACCATGTGATGTTTGCATCATAGTAGAAGCGACATTGTCATGTACCTGGTCATTCGATTTAGTGTGAACTTGATCGTGCCCGTCGATCACAAGTAGATCCTTGTGGCCATTTGTAACACCATTCAGCGCACGGAAACCATCCTTCAAGGTTTGCACTGCAATTGGAAGATTGGTGTCATCAACGTGAACCCCGGACGTTCCATGGTCATGGCTGTGTCTTGCATTTCGAGTACGGGTGGATTGTCGTGGGTAATAATATCATCGATCTGACTTTGCGTCTCATCAAGATGTGATGCCGCAACTTCATTGCCGATCCGGTCTGGCCGGTATTGAAGATCGGTGCCTTGCTTTACCTGAGTACGTTTCTGCAGGTCGACTTGCTGATTCTGTTGTTCTAGTCGTCGGTTTGCGTGCTTATCGCTCGCTGGGGGTGTGATTTCCGACGAAACGCTGACGACATAGCAGGCTTTGTTTGACATGATCAATGCTACGTTGCTGTCTCCGCGACCGTCAGAGCGATGATGGTTCGACTAGGCTGCTCAAAATAAAACTGCACTGAACTTAGCCTTCCAGTCGAGATGCCGTGGCCTGACATGAGCAGTTTGGGCTGTTAAGTGTACAGTAAAGGACAACAGGCATCTGATACACCCCACTCTCATAGGACCAGCTACTAGTGACTTGGGGCGCGAAATACGGGAAATCCTTTTTGGTTCGGAATGTGATTGTAACTTTATATTTCGTTGTGATCACAGACAACACAGCAAACAATCGCCACCTATTATCCATTATGGAGCGGCTCACATTTTCATCACTCATACAGGTTACTTCGATCCTGTATTTTTCTGATCATAGCTTTCTTACTTCTTACTATGAAGGAACTGAAATGTCCACCTACCTAGGGTGTTCACGGGAAAAGGCGGAGCAAAGACGCTGCTGTTTGTTACAATCAATATACCGATAAATCTTATATTGAAGGTCCATATCATGGTGTAAACGATAATCTCACGCCTCGCAAAATCCATGAGATACTCGCACATGTTGAGCCATAAAAATCCACTTTATACAACACTGGGTCTCAGCGGGCTATATTGATGGCCCTCATCTCCCCTACATGCTCCGCACATAACTCACTCGGACTTGATTTATGACTTCTTCCTTACCAGGTGCAGTCTGCGTATCAAACGGGCAGTAGCGTGTCTCATTAAATTTCCTTGGCTTGATATTAGCTGCTACACGTCTTGGAATGGGAGTGCTACGCGCATCTCTCGAAGCTGTTTACTTCGTCATTACAAGAAAAATCCTGAACAAGGTTGCCTTCGGCAAGCCGCAACTCGGCACATATCAATTCGCCACCCGACTCCTGCAAAAATGGCGGAAATATTGCTGCAAAATCAATCGATTCCCATCGACCGTGTACTTCATCGGCGATACACCCGAGTCTGACATCCGCGGCACGAACGAATTCAATGAGACCACGGAGAACGACTGGTACTCAATCTTGGTCAAAACAGGTGTTTACAAAGACGGAGCTGAAACCAGCTACCCTCCCAGAAAAAGATGCGAAAATGTTTTCGATGCGGTGGGGTTCGCCTATGAGCGCGAACACAACACGACTACCAAGGGCGAGATTGTCTCCGAGATCGATTATGATACCTGCCAAAAAGTTTCTAAATAATCTGTTGACGACCTTTTTTCCTTCTATGAATTTTCCCGGTTGCATTTCTTTCCTCCGACTACCCCAGTGATTGGTAATTATAGACTTTGAGTGAGTCCTTTTTACGGTTCTCTTTTCTCACGGCCTGCATTCCCGTCATCTTCAATATATGCATTGTTCGCGATTATGGGTATATATCTCATGCAATGAGTTATGTATCCGCAGGAATAAACTAGTTGATTTTAGAATATTACTGGGATATCTTTGAAATGGAACAGATGAAATCAAATACACCGAGTAAAATCTGCTTGTTAGATGCATACATATGACCTCTTCCAAGAGACCATTTTTATTGTCATCCTCAATTCTACTTCAGTCAAGAGGGTCGCACTCACTGAACCATACAGTAGCCCAAGTCCTAAACCAAACACATCGCCATAGTCCCCTTGTTCTCGGTAAACTCACCCCACATTTCGCCATGATATATACACACATATATATAATGTAATGGGTCTCCTCAACGTTGCTAGAGGATGTTCAGTAAGGCACTTGGTCTTTATCAAAGCACTACGAGGCGAAGTCGCCAGGAAGTCGCGACAGCAGATTTCTCATTGATTACATTTGAAGGCACAAACTACGATGGTCAATTCATCGAAGAAAGCCCCTGTGACTTATCTCAACAAAGGGCAAATATACACACTGTCTGTAGTGGGCTCGAATTCACCCACGTCATCTACTGGGCTGATCAGGTACCGTACATACGTCTGTATATCTTTTGAAGACACAGATCAAAGATCGAAGCCGACGACCTGTTGGAAATTGTGGGAGGAGATACCAGGCTTGAACAAGGCCCAAAAGGGCCGCAAGATCCGCGCTGTCGCGCTGTCGAGTATGTGGACCCACAGAGGAGTGATTGGAAGCATGGAAATCAGCACATTCAAGTCAAGAAAGCCGCTGTTGACGGTTTTTGCATTACCTGGACAGCTGAGCTGGCCTCCGATAACTTCGAATGAGTCATCCCTGTTCGACTGGGTTTTCTATCCACAGATTTCAGTCACTTCAAAGGTGTAAAAGGTAAACCAGTCAGACTGTGTGTGAAGACTGAGACACTGAGCTCTCGAGACAAAGACCCAACATTTGAAATCGAGCCAGGGATACACTACTGCTTAGTGCAGATCATCCGGGATCATGGTGCCGAGCGGAAGCTGTCCAACGATTTCGCGCACGCCAAAGAAAAGATAAAAAAGCTCAATAAACAGAACACGCACGCTACGCGTTGTACTGCCGCCCCCTGGACTTATCTCCGATCCGTCGATAAGGACTACCCACAAGGATTTTTCACGGGTGGTGATAGGCTGCTCCTATATACGATAGCATGAAAATCAAAAAATGTGTTGATGTTCTGGAGCACAAGAGACCACACCAAATATTATCCAGCGTAGCGGAAGGCGCGATAGTCACTCACATGATTAGAAAGAACAGACGTCTCAAGCTTCCATGCAGCAAGCCTCGCAATCTAATAGGCGCACCTGTTATTGGTTGGCCCGTTCCTTCTTCACCAAGCGTATGCTTCGTGGTTTGAGGCAACGAGGTCGGGGTTAGTGTGTAGGCCATGGCTTATATTGGGCACTGAAAGGGTGCTGTATCCTCGGGCCCTCTGGTGCGATTTTAATGGTTCACTGTCATTCATTAGCTTGCAGATTGGAGGACATTTCATCACTCACATGTTCTGGTGGTCAGCACCATGGCCGAATGGACGGTAAAGAGCTGTGTCCCTTGCGCTTGTGCATTGGGTGAATGTCTTCGGTTTGATTGAATTGCATCGTCTTCAGGATCAGTAGAATTCAGACAGGTCCGGCGGTTCACATACCTGCGTTGTGGATATTCGTGATTTTGCTTTGGGAGCAAGCACAGTGGCTGTACAGTATATCAGCTAGTCGACAGGCACTGTCTGGCTTGTAATCCTCGATGTATTCTATAATGTCGGTACAGTGGAGATTGGGTTCTGGGTCAAAGGGAAGAACTTGTCAGGTGACTCTGGACTTTTTTTCTAGCCTTGCTCTAGTGCTGTATTGGATGTGTTAAGCTGCGAGTCTGTCTGTCTAAACTGCAGAAAGCGAGGTCACGGTCGAACATGCGGGTGTTCAACCCGTTGAAGCTTGGCTAAACGTTGCCAACCCTCAACTTTCGAACTTGTAACCATGAAGACATGATGTACGAGCTATCAGTTTCCAGGCTGAAACTCCCCAAATAAGTTGGCACGTTCTAACAACCACTCTTCTCTCAAATCCAGCATCTGACCTCCTATCCCCTTATCTCCGGCTCCATCTCTTATTACAAGAACAATCGCTATGGCGCCAGGTCCCTCGAACTCATAGATAAAAGCTACGCCCGCCTCGCCAAACCCGTTCTGCCCTATACATCCATCCCGTTTAGTTATCTGTCTTCCTACCTGGCGCATGCCGACACCATCGGCGACAGGGGCCTGACCCAGATCGATCTCCGACTCTCAATCATCCAGGAGGGTATCCAGAAGCCACGTGACCCGATCTACAAAGGCGCTTTTTTACCCATTCATTTTGCAAGAGATGTGAAGCACCAGGTTTTTGCTATTTATGGGGCAGAATACGAAAAGTGCGGTGGCAATGGTGTCTTATCTTCAGGCAAGGCCATGATCACTACTAGTCTGGCTCTGTCACAGGAGTCATTGTCTTGGGTTAGCACCGTCTTACAGAAGAAGAGTGATGTAATGAAGGAGGCTGTTTATGAGAAAAAGAGCACCGACACTGATCGTAAAAGTCGATCTGGCTCATTTTCCATCCGGTCCTTGCTTTACAGATATATGGTCCCTACGTAGATCTTTGAGCAGTAAATAAGAAGTGATCCAATTACATTCGAATGTTTTGGGATCTGTCGTAAGCAAAACAGGAATTCCAAGCTGAACTAGACTCTATCCGCGCTAAGGCCTTGGCGGTGAGGCCAGGAGTGAGTTAGTGGGCATTGGGCAAGCCGTTTTCAAGAATCACTGTAGCCACATCATTTACCTCGCATTGAAGTTCACCTCAAAAGCTCCTATCTATGTCCCAGTTTCCATCTTCCTGCGTTGCAGACAAGACATGGTCACACTTAATTACTGCTAGTAGGGCCAATATTGCCAGGAGCGAAACAGCAGCCTCATATATAAACAACCCTAAGTTTCGTGGAGAGCGTCGTTCTTTGAGGGGCCTCAGTATTTTCAAGGGTAAGAGAAGGAAAAGGGCAGAACATTGTAATTTGTGTGCTGGACCTGCTATCTCGTGGCACTAATTGATTGAATTGCAACGTTGCATCAGAAATTCATAGAATATATTCAATCGTCGCAAAAGCCTTTCCAAACGGCATAGTACGGAATTAGGGTTTTGATATGGTAAATAAATACATAAGAATGCGGAATGCAGATTTTCTTACGTTAGAGACCGCCCAATAAATCATAATTCCGCCCAACCAAATATTACAGAGCTGGTCGTAACACGGACTTACACTTACTTTACATGGCCAAATGCAAAGGTTGCAAACAGCCTTCACCGCCGTTCGCGGCGGTGAAGTGCTCAATTGCCAGAAAACATGCGACCTGCCGTAAAGGGGCGGTCTCAACGACTTGCAAGTCATAAAGGTGAGTAGAGGTGAGACGAAGAAAAATTGCGAGAATCGCTAAACAGTCATTGCAATATATATATATTCCTCACTATGATTCTTGGGGCCTCCTCCCCATCAGGAATCCTACAATTTCCCAAGGTTCTCCCGCAAGGAACCGCGTTTGTTGCCTGTGCTGGCATTTTTGGGTGCACGTGTGGAATGCGCGATGCGGATTCTCAGCGGCACAATAACAGAATTGCCGAGAGACATGGTAAGAGATGGCATAACGCATATTCCGATGGAGGTAGCTAGTGTGCCTGTTCTAAATACACGTATTTTGGTTGATTGTGCTTTTGCAGTGGCTTGGGCGTTTCAAGTATGGACAAAACCGAACCCATGGTGCCTACATAGCAACATTTACAAAAGTACATATGTAGGTAGATATGTATGTTTATATAGCTAAATCCTATTCTCACAATTAAAACGGGGGATGAAGTTGCTTGGGGTCATAATATTGATCCATACAGACACCGCGTGTCGTTGAGACTTGCGGTATACATACATTGCACATTTAGGATTATCTTCGCCAGTCTTAGTCCGCGTAGGATAATTATTCGAGCGGTGTGTATTTTTGTTACAAGGATAAACGACAAACAATTATATCATCATGACTTGAATATACCGAGTATCAATATGCAGAACAGGGTACATCAACGAGATGATCTTCATAGGTCATTCCATTCTCCGGCAAGGTTGTCGCGAAGCTCCCGGTCGTCGCATTTGTGGTCAACTGCCTTTCTGCTGACTCGTAGGTTGAGGTGAGTTATTGAAGACGAGTCAGAAAACAATGCAATGAGATCGAATGGGGGAAGCGCTACATCATATTTGTGAGCTGAAATTCGAATTAGTAATATCCGTATTTTCTATGCTCAAAGATCCTGTTTTTGAGCTCTCAGGCCTCCTCTTTCAGATACGCTACCTCATCTAAGACCGTCCTCCTCGGTCATCTCGTTTTTCAGCACGCCCTCGATTCTTTTGGTACCTCTCGCCTCTTCGTCAGGTGGCATGCCTTTGAACACAGCATTTTGGTCGTGTTGGAAGCCCTTGCCTCTCTAAGAGTTGACGTCATCCGTGGCGAGCTGCTGTTTCGAGTCACTGCGGGGATTGATTGTCCTAAAAATATCGCTTTGGTCGTTACCCCGAACCCCGTTTGAGAATGGTTCATGGGAATTGAACTTTCCGTAAGTCCATCTCTCTTTATGCATATAAAATTTTATCTCCTTCAGAACATAGTTGACAGAAAACCGTAAACCAACACGATTTGCTAAGTACATTTGTTGGTCTCGCCAGCTAGGTACTGTGTTCACAATTAAGTGAACAGGGGTTTGCCTTTTGAAGCCGAGAATATATTGATTAATGATTAATCCGGGCGGTGAGTGGGAATGGTTACATGTCACTCGGTCCGCACATGCAGGGGCAGGTGGGACAACAGTTGTGGCTCCCATATATGTGAGGAGTCATATGGACTTACAATTGGTTTGAGACAGTTCGGAGTAGTTTCCCTTTTCAGTCCGAGAAATATTATCATTCGTCACGCTAGTTACAGAAAAACTCGAAATCAAATTGATCCGTGCAAAGCTCACCAACATGCGAGTTTAGTATGGTTGCGGGATTTAATTGATTGTTCCTTGTCTGTTCTATGCGTTGAAAGCTATGAGAAAACATTCCAAGTTCAAAGTAATTCCATGGTTAAACCATACCTTGTCATTATACGAATATCAGTCTGGATCCTTGGAATACCACTGTGATGAATTAATGTGTGAGTAACACCAATAAGTCGAACAACTTCGTCCCACGACCCTTCTAGAATGAAAACCAGTTAGCAGCTTGTTTGACGAGCAATTAGATCATCGCATGGCTGGGTGCAGTGAGGATTTTAAAACGTCTGAATGAGACATTTACCGATAATGGTTCCAGAAGCATGCATATGGAACTTCAATCCCGATTCCGCAACAAGTGCCTGAATACCTGCAATTTCATGGGTAAAGGATGATTTTTGAGATCCGATCTAAACAGTTACACAACGCCACGATATGAGCGATATGGACAATAGCATAATTCGTCTCCACATGGAGCAAGGTGGAAGTAATGCGGTAGGACTTACCGGTATTGGGGAGAAATCGGCAGTGCAGTGCGAAGGGGTATCTGCTGTAGTTCCTGTGGAGGTCATGCTGATCCTGATGGCCATATAATTTTGCCAATACTCTGTTTTATTGTAATTGTTAGGAGCACAGGGCTGAAATATATATGTAAAATTAACGCATCATTATGACGCATACGAAGAATCGGTGAAAATTGGCCCTACGACAGTTATTTACGCCCGCCCGTCGCCCGCCGCCCCCACCACCTGATTGGTTGGCAGGCCGATAAGGTATATTTCGAGTGAGGGTCGCAAGGAAAACCGAGCTTATCTCCCCGCAGATCTGCACGATTGCTCTCTTTGCGTTAGTCCCACCCGTGGAGAGCAAGGTTACAATTTCCCCCAAAGCATGAACAGGAACTGGGGGAGCGCAATTTGTGCGCTTTCTTTAGGTAATGAGCGAGGGTATTAAAAGCAACATTTGCCGAGTCTCTCCAGGGGTTGGGTGAATGTATTTTGCCGGGAAGGAATAATTGGGGTATCTTGGCCGCTATGCATTGGCTTCAAATTTTGGAGAAAGAAGCCCGGAGTTGAGCAACTGGTGCTAAACATTTTCAACGGCAATACGCTCTAACAGCCAAGGTCCGGAAGAATGCGTCTCACCTGAAGAACGGAAAACCAAAGGAACATGCCGCAGACATCGGATCCGGAGTCATCATCCACACGAATTTTTGTGATATCTGTGGCAGCGTCCTTCTAGAATATGGGGTATATGTTGGATCCCGACTATTGGCTTGCCAGTTAGACTGAAATTAGTCATAGGATGTTGACAAGAATGAATTTTGCTATATTTGCGTTGGCTCGTTAGACGGCACTGATGGTTTACCCCCCAAGATTGAATTCTTGAGCAAGGCTAAGGCAAGCTGGATTCCCGAAATACCTAGTAAGTCGAGCACCCGCACATCCTACTGTGACCTCGCTTTCCGCAGTCTAGACGGACAGACCCACAGTTCAACACATCCAACACAACACTAAAACGAGGCTAGGAAAAAAAAAAGTCCATGATTTCTAGGATGAAACTGTAGGCACTTTCCGGTGATTAATGTTGAGTCGCTCGCAGATGAGGTGATTAGAACAAAAACAAGAAATATGAGCCTGTCATTGCAGATTGAATAGCAACCAGTGTCTCAATTTTAGAGAGCCGTGAAGGATTCAACAGTCAGCCAACGTTTCTTGACCAACTCAGCATCCTGTTCTTCAACACGACTCTTGCTCGTCTCTCTCGCTGAGCATCTAAAGGGACCAAACTGTGCAAATAGACGCTGTAAAGAGAAGCCACGGGTTTCAACAGGTCTCAAACAAGAGAGATGTCCTGAACGCGTTCTACCAATCAGCGCACTTGCGCAACAGAAGGAACCGAGAAGCCTATAAATTCGTCCTCTACCCCCGGCAATTTGCTCTACATTTTATTCACTTGACTCTGCAAAGTCGAGCAGGCTCGTGTCTGAGTCACCTGATAAGTTCTCCCCTTTGACACAGAACCGAATTTCCACTGTGCTGGAATTGATAGGATACATCCAGGACACAAGCCAGACAGTGTCTGTGAGGGATATAGGTATGATTCCCACCAGATGCACTGCCATTCACATCAGCCGGTCAAAGATACGAGTTTTGGATTAGCTGATCAAGGTGTCTATGCGCAGATGCCTCCGCCACAGCAGTCGACTAGTTGATCTACTGTATAGCCACTGTGTGCTCCCAAGAGATAGGCGAATATCCGCGTCGCAGGTATGTCAACAGCAATGTATGAAGAGATGGCCAGCTTGAATAACGAGAACTCTCGTCGCTGCTCTCTTCCGTGAGTCACCTTGCTATGATGCTTTGAATATCAAATGGTGCTAACATAGTTTAAGTTCTTTCAAATTAACCACCAGCATGGGAGCCTCCGATTTGGGCGAAGAGCGCCGACTGCCTCCTCTTCCCCAGATTTTGCCTCTTCCTTCTCCCGGTCCTTTCAACCCATTCAACACAAAAGATGCCCTAGTTCCCACCACCCCTAGACCTCAGGACACCTCCCAATTCAAGTCACCTTGGGCAGCTGCCGATCACATCGTCGCTCCCTCTTCACCAGCTAACCCGGCCGAAAGTTGTTGACGAGAGGGCTTTGCCATACAAAAGTCCGGTGCAGGAGACTGGCCCAATGACCTCTCTCAGAACGAAACCATGGCCCTTTTGGCCCCGCAAAAGCTCAACCGCAAATCGTCGCAGTTATGTGAACCTTAGCCTGGCCTGTCTCACTTACCCTGAAGATGATGCGATTTCAACAGAACCGAGTACATTCGAACAAATGCACGATCGCAAGGACTGCAGCTCTTTGCCGTCTCTTTGTCCCAAGACTTGGCTACCAGAAGATGTGAGTCATGGATTGTCTCCCCGATCTGCAAGCTAATGATTGACAGTGAACCATTGGCATCGCACCGGAGGGCCCGAGGATACAGCACCCCGTTAGTGACAAATACAAAACCATGGCCTTCACACTATTCTTGGCCCCGACGCTTCAAACCACACAACATACCCTAGATGAAGAATATAAACCAGAGGAGCGGGCCAATAGCGGGTGCGAACATCCGAGTGCGAGCTTCGCTACATGGAAGTTGGAGACATCCATTGTTCCTTATAGTGTGAGTGACTTACCGCGTTCTCCGCTGCGCTACATCAGTTATTTGTATAATTTCTTGTGCTCCAGGACATCAACACAATTGCTGATTTTCTTGCCGTTGTACATGAGGGCAGCCCATCGCCACCGTGAAACATCCCTGTTGGAAGTCCTATCGCCGGATAGGAGATAAGACTAGGTGGCACTACGACGCGTGCTCCATCGCGTCTTCGCCCTCACCGCCTTCACTCCATGAATGGCGGAGTGTCTGGCCGTCCGCATTGCGAAACATTCATCCATCACGACTATATGATTGCTTGTGTCTGGTGAGGTTGTCACGCCCTATGCTGCCCTGAGAATACGCGTTGCGCCACAGCCCGGCTTTTTTGGAGCAACGGCCGGAGAGTGCGACGGACCAGAATACAACATGGCATGAATTGTGTGCGTTGTTTTGCCGAAGAGGATTGTATGTGATCTGTTTGGCAAGTTCATATGACCACGAAGCTCACTGATCGTCTCGTCTCAAGCGTACACAGCGTGCCCTCTGCAAACTTTATGAACAGATAAGTTATGAAATCTCGTCCAAGTGGTAAGCCTTGCTGACTCGGATCTCACAGCAGGGCCCCTCATGCTCCCGTCACTCGAGTCGAATGCGAAGCGAGCAATCTTTTCTGCTCGACCTCCTCTGTACCGATGCGACCGCAAGCTATCTGTCCCTTCCTCATGACCACTGGTGGCACGGACGAGGAATCACTGGAATGTTCACATCGTCTCGGCCCTTCTCTCAGTCGACTCTGTGCATCAGTCATGTGCTGGTGTGTCTACTCGATACAAAGCTCAAGCCACAATGGGCTTATGTCACAGTGCCTCGGCATTCGAACAAAGTGAAAGAATGGCCTCCTTGTGGATCAAATTCCTGACGTCCAATGGGTGATCCTCATTATCCTCGATTCGCATCTCACGTCTTTTGATGCCTGGCAGCTTGACAGGCACCGGGATAAGCTCATGTTTCAGTCTGGCTCATGGCGGACGAGTCCTACTTTCGCCGACGAGCAGGCTGTGAGTCTAAGTCTGCGTGCAAGGGGAAGGTGGGGTGGGACCCCATTGTTTCGAGCCTACAGATGAACATTGGCCATATCAGGTACGAATCGATAAAAGGGGACGGTAGGGTGTCGAGTCATAGCCGAGTCAACTATAGGGCCACGAGCAAAGAGATGGCGTCCGATAGATTCACCTGATCTTACTCCGCGTTGCTGGGCCGGTGGACGTATTCCAGCAGGTGGAACCAATAAATGGAAACGAGCGAGCGGGGGAGACCAACCGGACATACACGGCGCCGCATCGAAGCCACTGTCAGACCTCCTGTGGTGTCTTTGGACAGATCTTGGTATTCTTGATGCCTAGGCACCCTTTTTTTCTATCGAAGTCAGAGCAAAACGTGCAACATGTGCAAAGGTGTTTTATCCAAGAGGTCACTGCAGCTGCAGGTCAGCAGTGCGTCCTACGTCGAATGTCCTTGAGCGTGGCTTATTTGCTAGGCACCGCGCTTTGACGACATTTGGCATATCTCCGTTCGAGCTGATCCTTTGTGAATGTGGGTTTCTGCTGCGGCTTCAAGCCAAGTAGATCGCATCGCAACGTTTGTCGTAAGTGCTGGCGGGATCGTCTTTGCCAGATCTGGTCAAGATGGCGCTTGCTAGACTCGGTCAGGCTGCAACCGTGTTCTCTACAGAGTAGGATATGCTCGATCGCGTGAACTCGATTACTATGCCCAAAAGGCAATGGCGATCGCTTTGGGTGCAGTAGTGAATATTGATAATGGGAGAGGACAGGCGATATAAATCGTAGTTGCTAACGGGAATATTCACGGGGTTGCGACGGCTCCCATGTAGAAGCAGCCAATCGGAAATTTTCGAGCCAAGCCCCTCAATCTCTTCGTTGTCTTTATTGGGAATCCACTTTGACTCGCGACCGTTGTGGATGTAGGCATTCTACAGCAGAGTAGGAAGAAGTAAGTGACTTGCAAGCCGCCTGAAGCGGCAAAATTGACTACGCGAGGAACAGTCTATCGCATCACCATAATTATCTGAGCAACAAAGTGTATTTCGAGCGCTCCTCATTCAATGCTTCACCTACACCTGGTAGGTCTGATCGTGGGTGTTTTGCCTGTGTTTGCATTGGACCAGCTCGATCGAATTGATGGCTGTGTGCGAACTTTACTGAGTAAACACCGGGGGACCATCGTAGCAAGTGATGCCAAATGAGGGAGTTCCACCGTTGAAAATGTCATACTTGAACAAGATACCCCTACTTCAGCTTACATGAAATATATATCTACGTGCTGACGCCCACTAATCCTCCAATTGCCAGAATAGTACAAAATCATGGTCAAATTCTATATTTTATGATGATTCCTATGAAATCGAGTCTATAACCTAGCCAGTGTTTTCCATGACTTTTATTACCAGGTCGTTACCGTTGAATCTTATCTTGCTTCTTGGAGTAGTTGAACCCCGGATTGGGCCGGGGAAAACGTCGGGCCGAGATCTGGGCTTATAGCATGCACAAAACTGTCGGAATGTGTGGAACCTTGTTATGTCATTTGTTGTATTAGGTAACGTGATCGTAATGTTCTCTAGTCTAGTGGGTCCGCGCTACCTAACAAAACTGTATGGTCAGGGGGACATTTCGAATCAAGATTCCTGGCTATCTCATTCGTGCATGCGACAGGCCCGCAGCTGTTCCGACATAATTACCACCTAGTACAATAGCCAGCAATAGGGGTAATAACAACTCAGAGTTCACAACAGCAGGTGATTGGCCGGTGCAGACTGTAGTTGACAGAATTCAACAGGTTGAACGTTAATTCCGCTGCAAGACATATATTTCCGACGAAAACTAGCGGCTCAGGGCGGTCCCAACCGCGACCAAAATTCACAAAGATTCGTAGTTTTACTCGTACGAATATTTATAAGCAGTGAAAGCTTTTTATTTTATTCGTGCCGACCTCTACACGGCTCCAGCTCTGAATAGATCAAATGGATGAAATAGCTGTGAAAATGGAGACAAGTTTTCGTCCACGTTAGGGCGGTGAGCATCAATAGTTGTGTTTTGTTTTAACCCCGATATGACCCTACCGACTTGCTTACCGCTCTCGCCGTTCTACAAAACCTCCATGTGTAGAAGGCAGATATATGACATCCACGTAAGCGGCCCGAACTGTGTCAAATAAAATCAGTTTACTCTCAATAGTAGACGAATGACGACAGCCATCAAATAAGATAAAGTAGAGAGTCCTTTGTAGCTGCCCAACTGTCAGTTTTTGGGATTGAATTATCGCAAAAAGTCACGAGACCCCCCCACGAGCAACCCCTCCCTAAATTCCGGGAAGTCGCCTTTTTCTCATTTACGGCACAAACCGCAAGGTCCTGAACACAGCTTTTATTGAATACATGGAAATGAAATAATTGATAATTGATTCATTGATCAAACACCGCCGACTGTCCTCGACTCCAACCACGATACGTTCGACGCCGTTCTGCGCAACCATCACCAATGTCTACAGACCAAAGGCCTGTGACACCACTTTCATCTGCTGGCGTCATAAACAGTGTTGGCCAAGCTTGGAATGAAGTCGGCCCTGTTGCCGAATCACTGGCAAGGTCCCCGCACTCAACTTTCAAGCGGTTCTTTCCCACAGATTTCCCGGCATGCCATGCTCCCATTAATGCTGCCATCGCAGAATATCTCAAGGTAAGTACAGCTTCTCGGCCTGGAGATTTCAAGTCTCGCATTTAATGACGCTCGACCCTTTCACTACAGACGAACCATACCGAATCGGTCAACACGTCGCAATTCAAGACAGGTGGATATGTTTTTTTCCCAGGCAAATCGTTGGTCGGGGAATCGTTCACAATGGTTATTCCTTTATACATAGTTGGTGAAGTGCGGGTCGAGGATCTCCACTTAGATGAAAAACATCATTACCATATCCCGAGGCCGTGCTATATCGATGTTCCTGAAGGTTCCAAACTGGTGGCGCTGATTGTTGACTCTAAATGATGCTCCCTATTTTCATCCTCGTTGTTTGCATTTGTATCAATTTCGAAGTATATAGAGATCTGGGAAGTGCATTATGTTTGGTACATTTAGTATACTATGATTTCCAAACCCCTGCTGCTTTTTGCTGTAAAAATTCCAAACCGATAGACTGCGCTCGGTGATATGGATGTCACCGAGGATTGCTATACTGAACCTCCCTCCGATAGATGCAGGACACAGGGCTGTTAGGCTCGTGAGCCAAGTTCTCACAAGGAACGCTCACACCCTCAGGGCGTCCGTGAGTCCTGACTTTAAAGCTGACCTGAATCCCACGCGACAGGCCCAGCGCCCCAGTTGTCAAACCCGCGAACCGAGGTCTGGTTAGAAATGCTTCCATTCTGAGGGTATCCGTGGTCCTGACTGTAAAGCTGACCTGTAACTAACGCGACAGGCTCAGCATCATAGTTGTCGAACCCGCGAACCGAGGTCTGGTAAGAAATGCTCGCATTCTGAAGGTACATGTTGTCCTGATTGTAAAGCTGGTCTGGAACCCACGCGACAGGTTCATAGTTGTCAAACCCGCAAGCCGAGGGCTGGTGGGCGGTCTCTTCGTTCTCAGGCCCACCCAAGCGTTGCCTGGTATCCTCAAACATTGAGTCATACGCATATGAAGGGCGTTCGGGAGGTTGTAGTCTACTTCCATTTGAATGTTCCTCCACCTGGATTACAGAACCACTCAAGCCTTGTTGACTGATATTGACGCAAACAGGTGCGCATTGAGTTGCTGTCTCATTGACGATATCTGGTCTCGAAGCATTATCAAGTAGCTCTAATATTGCCGATCAACAATGGTTAGAAAGACATTTGCAATCCGATACGCGGACGGTATGTTCGTACTTACCTGCGCTTGCAGCCGAGATATCTCGAGGCCCCAAACTCAAGTTGGGCAGGGGTTGGTCGCAACAAACTTGATCCCGAGTTTCTGAAGTATCAGGTGAACTGGTCAAAGATTTGTTACTTTGCATGGCAAATTTGTGCCCACGTACATCAATTGGTATTGAAGATGTCCGGTTTACACCTGCTGGTGACAAGGAATCGCCTAATATTGGATGAACTGTTAGACTAGATGTGGGAATTAGTGAAAACTTTGGACGTCTTACCTGCATAGCTTGCGACATGGCTCTCAGAAGTCGAGGATGTGGATGATGAAATGTATTCCAGATTCGGCACCGAGTTTGGAATTGAACAACCGTCATTTTGAAGCCTGAAAGCCCGAGTGCCTTGTAGGCAGCGCCAGTCTGATTGAAGCTTTTATTAACAAATAAACGCAGACAGTTGTTAGATACCTACCTTGCAAAGAACTGAATAAGCTTCCATCTTCTCCCTGTTCGGATTGAACAGATGACTCGATCCTATCCCATAAAGAGCTGAAAACCTTATTTGCCAGGTTGTCCATGACCGTGTTTTGTTCTAGATTGCAGACACCACGGCGTAGCAGTGAACCGATCACTACCTCCCTTTTCACTCCTTTGACTGTAAGTTCTTTCAACATGCTGGCGAAGTCAGCTTCAATTCCTTGGCCTTGCATTTTACTCACAATCTATCTGTGAAGTCGCTAGGCAGTCGAAACAAATTGCCCAGATATCTGTAATCCTGCGCCACATTGTAGCTTCCTAGTTCTCTGCACAATGCATCATATCTTGCTCCAACGCAGGCCCAGTCTTTGATTTTCAGAGAGATCTTCTCTGCATCACTGCTATCCAATCCTGCCGCGATAACTCTGCGAGTCATCCATTCGACCGAGTTGAGTCGAAGATAGGTTACACAGAACCTGTCTTGCAAATGATGAAAAAGGACCTTCAGAAAGCGCAAACGTATCAAATCTGCAGAGCTGCGAGTTTCTGCTTCCGTAAGTCCTTGGTAGATCGTTGCAATCGGACAAGCCACAGCTGAGGAATGTTCCGTGCTGCGCTTGGGATCTAAAAAGGAGTGGTGATCATTTGACCACAAATCGATATTTGATTGCAAAGACTCAGATATGTGTATTCTCTCAGTTTTAGACTTTTTCAATCTGTTTTTGATGCGGTTTCGACCGGGTGGATAAATCTGCTCTTTCGAACATTCAGGCAGGTGCTTCCAGAGTTTTGCAAGACAGTTCACAAACTGTCGGTAATTAGACTCAGACTGAATTTCGGAGAAGGACTACCAACTTGCTTGTCTGACAAAACATGCTGGACTTGGCTATGTCCATTTTGTTCTGCGACCGAACACGCTGTCGTCAATTTCCCAAGAATTATTTTGCTTTCTGTGATGCCCATGTTGAGTGACTTTGGAATTGGTGCGGAGAAAGCGAGGCCACACCTATTGCCTCTAAAATAAAACCAAGGGGCGAAATAATGACTAACGTGTGATAGGTCCGCACTAGCAGACTCAGTTCCCATAATCAAAATTCCAGGCATTACAATTAAAATGCAGTTCGACCGCTGATCACCAGTGAACAGCCATGGGGGCGTTTATCTATTGGCTATGAACCAACCTCACGGCCCCTGGCGGTAACACTAATGCAGCCACCAAAGTGGAACAAAGGCCCAGCCAGGTTTCATCGGCACTGCCCCATACTATTATCCTCGCTCTCATGAACATGGCTCCCACAGGAAGAGTGAATGCTGTGCGATGAACAGTTCAGGGCACGACGTTTCAATTTTGTCTCTGCCGGAACCTTTTTCGAATGTCTTACCATTTCAGGTTGACGAAATCAAATGAAACATTTTTCGATTCTATTGCTATCTAATTACAAACATTCCAAAAGCAATGCTTGGAAATTGCCGGTTGGTTTACCATGTGGGTGTCGGTGGCATTCGCATAAATGATCGACTTCGACGAGCGCTAAGCTACGGATTTCTGGGATTGTGACGTAGGTTCCCGGAGCTCTGTACTGGGTTTCTGGAAGCCGAACGCTCCTGGAATATGGCGTTAGCATCCCGGGAAAATACTCCTAGACAGGATCGTTCTTATAAGCCCCATGTGAATTTTGTCCCTCAATACATAATTACGAATGCTTGTACCCATTTGTCCTTCGTCGGCCCGCTAACAAAGCTACTCTTGCCAGGCTCCCACTACAGCATTTTTCGCATTGGGCATGGAAACATCCCTGTCTCATATCTTCTCCCGTTAAGGAAGCTTACCTTCCCTCAAGCGATTTTTAAAATATGTTCAAATTTAGATGACAGAATTCACCAGTTGTGGAATAACAAACTTGTTGACTTGCCTTCACCTCAAACAAATTTTTCATCTAGCTTCTTCTCTTGGAAACGAAGACTAGGCGGTCGAGGACAAAGAAGTTCCCTACCACAGATTTAGGCTCCCGTACCAAAAAGACAGCACAAGCTCCTATTCAAACCTGATGACTATTGCTAGAGGACACTGAATGTGAGCGCGCCTCAATATTGGGTGGTTGGTAACCTTTTCAAACGCCAGAAACTTATGAAAAGTGAGCACCCTCGCTTCTTGTCAGCGTAAGTGATCATGGATTATGGCGAGCGGTGATGTATTGATCACGCTTGAGTTCCACGGGCCCATTGCCGAAATACAACGTTTTGGTGGGCTATCATTTGCGGGGTGTGGATGTTGCCGGATGCCTTGGCTGTGACTCGTCCGTTGTTGGCCCAGGTGTTCAATCGAGTCATGTTATTGTGAACGCCACCGAGGTTTCGTCTTATTCAAAGCGCCATCAACACAAGACCATCCAGTGCATAAGCCTATACCGTCCATTGCACGTTGGGGACAGGGGTTTAGGGAGGCCCGCACGTTTGTCCGCCATTGGTCCGATGTCTTAATTTTCCTCAGTACACAGCCACAACAATGTTGTTTCGCAGGTAATATGAGCCTCAACGTTAAATTTACACACAGATGTGGCACATACTATCTTTCTCCGTGCTGGAACAATAGAGATCTTCTTTTCAACTACACTCTTACTAGTACTTTCACGACCAATTTTGATTGACATTTCTTTGACTTATCTCACCAGCTCATTATGAAGCAATCGAAAAACACCACACACTGCTATTAATTCAATCAGACGAGATCTTCGCCAGAAAAAGGTCCGTCCTTAACATGCTCACGCACAGCAAGTCGGAGCGGGAGCGGGTTTGTCTATTCGTAATTTGCCATTACATTAATGATTTTGTGACATGACATCTGAAGTCACTTACGATCGGCACAGAAACGGGATTGAGCAACGGCCCATTTCCCACAATTAGCCACAGCGCAACGCTGGCTTGAGGCAACGTCATTCATTGGTTGTGAGCTAGTCGACGAGGTAGCGTCGACAGGAATCGATTCAACGTTGTGGGACATGATGAACTCGGAGATCGTTGAAATTGGGTGGTAGATAGTTTGACGAGTAGTGATGGAAGATGTTATGATGGGAGGAGCTTCAAGCGGATTTCTTTCTGCTTTTGTATTGGAGAAACTCTAGAGGGTGTAGGAAGGCAAATATCTGGACCTAGAAAAAGGGGACTGATTGAGCTTATATTTCCTCCTTGGCTTCATAGTGCGTGTAAAATTATCTCTCTTGTCTAGACAATTCCAAGCTTGGTTGTATTTTATGCACAGGCTCAGCGTTTGCATCACACCATTCCTATTTAGTCCAATCTTGTCCGCGCGGACAAAATTAGACTAAACATAAATGGAAGTTAGTGCAATGCTTGACCAACTACTGGTTTATTCAAGTGCTTATGTGACCATATGCTGGGTCTTCGTGCCACAAGACCATGCATGGGATAACAATCTTCATAGCCATCAACGTCGCCAATTTAAGGTGGTAGGACCTCCTACATGCGCCGATTTCTTAACTTTGCGATCCGTATGGTCATGTTAATGGAAAGTGTGTTCTTGAAATCAGTATTAAGTAAGATCTACAATTGAATGTGGCTAGAAAATTTCATATAACCTCATCACGCATGTCAATCTCACCGACTCCTGCGGCCTTCTTGCTCACGTGACACAACGGCCCAATTAAAGAAGAATTTCATTAGGGAGTTGAGTAACCCACTACCCTATTCTTGAAATTCTTTTCCGGATTACCCCTCAAAAACCACAACGCAAAAGCTGTAGGCAACCAAATATGTCCGAAAATTTTCGTTTCTGGACTTGTTGTCTCTCCGAATGTTCCGCTGCTGCTGCGATCGATGTTGGTATCTGCGAACGCTGTAGGCAACATTTTTGCGCCGTTCATGCCAGACCCCCAACTCATTGCTGCAAGGTACGCTAAGCCTTAATATCTAGAAGCGTTTTCTAATTCTGGTCCCAGAATGACCCTCTTGATGACGATGCATGGGGGGCTGCACAGACAGCAGAAGTAACAGCACTTCGACGCATCATCAATGACAAAAATCTCTTGCGTCGAGCTTCAGAGCTCAACAGAAACCTGGACTGCAAATTGGATCCCTCGGATCCTCTTGGAGAGAAGCGAATGGGTGGCATGCACATCCATCTTCGAATCATTTTTAGCGATGGAACGGCCTGGCTGGCTCGGATACTCCGACAAAACTATACTTCATTCTCGGACAACTTCAGCAATCTTTGCTTAAAGAGCGAATGTGCCACTTTGAAATGGCTCAAGGATATTAACGTCCCTTCTCCTAAACTCTTC